CTGCTCCATCCCAGACAGGTTCAGTCTCTCAGGCTCTCCTGCTCCATCCTAGACAGGTTCAGGCTTTCAGGCTCTCTTGACTTCAGCACTCAGGCAGGGTCTGGCAGCACTGCCCCTGCTGCTGCTGCTGCTGCCTTTGGGGCTCCAGGAGGGCAGGGCTGAGTGTGAGAGCAGATTTTCCTCTCTGGTCCCAGTTTCCCATTGAGCAGCTGGGGTTGCTGCCCGTTGTAAGCCACAGCTTGTAAACAAGAGACACAGCAAGTCTTAATTAGGGTGACTTGCATTGTTAATTGCAGTTTGAGTGTTTTTTTTCTGCATAACTGGAATGAAAAGAAATAACATCTGGGGAGGAAAAACTCAGGATGATGTGAGTTTGAGTTGGGAAGGGGTGGGGGGAAAGCAGGAGGGTTTCTGCCAGCCTGGGGTTTGCTTGCAGCAGGGAAGAATGGCTAAATTACATTTTACTGAGAGCAGACACATGTGGGCTTGGGCTGCTCACTGGTGAGAGGGGACTGGGGAGCTGGGTGCTGCTGAGAGGGGAAATGGAACAATCTGGATTTCTTTGGGGTCTTAGGTTTCAAGTCTGGAGGAGTTCAGTGCAGGGAATGTGTGAATCTGTAGCAGCCTCCTCTCTGATCCTGGTAGCTGGGGAAGAAACCCAGTGGCAAAAGAAGCTGGTGCCTGTATTTTTACTGAAGATCAGAGCAAAGAGCTGGAAATTTATCTGGAAAATATTAAAATGTGCTGAAATGTTTTGCCCATATAAAGAAGTGTGTTTATAAAGACTTGAAAGACAGCTTTCCATATTCATCAGCATTAATACCTCAGAGTTGTGTTTGTGAAACTGTTCCATTGTTTTGTAAGCAGTGGCTCCTGGCTCTGAACAGGCTCTCTGGGCTGGCAGTGGAGTCCTTCCCACCTGTGCAGTAAAAGTTAAATATATATGTCAGATCACAGGACATCCTTCTGGCTGCCCTGGATGGCTCCAGACCCTGGCAGGGGTCTCAGAGACCTTGGCACAGAGTCACAAACACCTGTGCCTTTGATTTTAACCTATGGAAACAATTCCCAACTTTGTGTGAAGAGTTACAAGCCACAAGAGTTTGAATAGAATGATAGTGAATTTGTCACAGGGTGAAAAAGTAGAATTTTTGGGATTTAGAATGGGAGTTCAAGAGGCAAGATGGAGGAATCTGAGGGTGTCCTGTCCTTCTTCTTGTCCTCCATCTTCTGCTGTGATGGTGGCACTTCTGGATGGGTTTAGAGTGGAGGCAGCCTGTCTAACATAGGTGATAGGTATTGGAAAATTATTGTAAATAAAGCACACGTAGTTCTTAGTATGAAAAGCCAACAGCACCCCAAGGGCAGGGACTGTGCCACAACCTGACCTGCTGGACAGATCTCAGCAGATCAGAGAGAGATAAGAGAAAATAAACAACCCTGAAAAGCAGAACCAAGGAATCTCGACTTCTTCTGTTGTGGGGCTGGGAAAAAAGAGACTTTTAATACCTGGGGAGCCATTTCAGCAAAAAACCCAAGATATATGTACATGAAATGTGGTGCAGGTCTGCCAGAACAGGCCAGTGACAATGTCTGTGTTCCACCAGGTCAACATTGCCATCAGGTCCTCACTGCAGAGCCTCTGGGAGAAGATCGAGCAGCTGAGGGAGCAGCTGCTGCGGGCGGTGTCCACTCGGCAGATGTACCTGTGCCAGCAGCCTGCCCCGGGCTGAGGCACTGCACAGTGCAATGTGGGAAAATGTGCTGTGCAGAATCTGCTGTGCAGAATGTGGTGTGCAAAATGTGTGCAAAGTGTGCTGGGCAAAATGTGCTGTGCAAAATGTGAAAATGTGGTGTGTAAAATGTGTACAAAGTGTGCTGTGCAGGATGTGCTGTGCAGGATGTGCTGTCCACCCCTGCCACATCTCTGGCTTTCCCCTGGTTCCCTCTGCAGGACACTTGGCACGGAACATTCTCTGTGCTGCTGTTGTCACTGTCAGGGCAGGAAGGGGCGGGCACCCCTGGGCGGCTGGGACAGGGCCTGGCTCTGATCACCCCTGTGTCCCCATCCTTGACAGGAGGGGCTGAGAGGAGCTTGAGGAGAGCTTTGAGGCTGTGTGAGTTTGGTCCTTAACCCAGAGCCCTCAGCACCCAGCTGGAGGGGGACAGGAGGCAGAACCTAGTGGACGAGCTGGTGACACGGCACAGGCAGCTGGAGGCATCCTACAGGAATGAAGGTCCTGAGCCAGACATGAGCAGGTATGGCCCTGTACCCTCAAATCCCAGGGGATCTGAGCTCTGGGGGCACCTGGAGTGACAGCTGAGCTCATCTGCCCCTGCAGGTACCAAAGGGAGGCATTTGCTCAGAAATGAGCTGGTTTTGTCAGTGACAGCACGTGCCTGGCAGCTCTCTTGGTGCCATTCCCAGCTCGGGGTCCCTCTGCAATCCTGGTGGATCCTGGCCCAGCTTTGGGCTCCTGGAGGTGGCAGAGCCCCCCTGGAATGTGCCTGGGGCTGACACTCAGCTTTGCCCTGCATTAGAACAATCAGCACCTGGGGTTTGATGGGGCTGAGCACTGACACTTGCCTGGCTGGTGCTGCTTTTCCACATCTAATCCAGGCCTGATGTGACAGCCCACGGTGCCCAGGCCCTGCTCTTGCCAGCAGCCCTTCCTTTCATTAACCTTCCTGCACCACTGATCACATGTTTGCTGGCCAGGCCTGGGGCTGGAGCTTTGCCCTGGAATTAAGCTGCTTTACTGTGCTCAGCACTCAAGGAGCTCCACATCCTGTGAAAGCTGCTCTGAAGCTGTTTGGGCTGCAGGGCTGGGCTTTAATGCTCCCGGGGCTGATCCCAAGTGACAACTGCTGCAGGACTCTCCCTGCCTGGGGACAGCATTCCTGCCCCTCCAGCCCTAATTAAGGAGCCCCTGGAATGCCCAGGGCAGGGTTGGGCTGTTTGTGTGCCCCCCTCGAGCAGGGCCAGCTCCATTTCCTTTAGTGGGGATTTAATGACAATTTCAGTGGCTTCTGCCGCTGTTTCTCCGGGAGGGTCTGTGCAGGCTGTTGGAGCAGGGCCTGCAGTGGGGCAGAAACCCCAGGGTGTCACTGCATTCCCAAGGCAGGGCGGGGAGAGCAGCCAGCAATGGGGACTCTCTGGGTGCCACAGATCAGACTTTTACAGTATTTAAACATCTGTGGAGACAGAGGGATGGGAATAGTCGCACTCCTGTCTGGCCTGGTCTCAGGCTGGAGAAGTCCATGTCAGTCACCAGAGAATCAATGAATTCCTGCCCTTCCTTGGTGTCTCTTGGAATTCCTAAAAGCAGAGACAAATTCTGGTGTCTGTGGGACACAAAGCTCCTTCAGGAAGAGAAGAGTCTATATTAATTTTTCTCCTCAGTGAGTCTATAATAGTTTTTCTCCTCAGTCACCGTTTTCCTGTTTGAAGCCCTTCCTGACAGATGGAAGGGATTCCAGCCTGGATCCATACAGGAATTTTACCTAATGCCAAACAGGCTCCAATCCATGAGTGCCCACTTCAGGTGTCAGATACTTTGGGAATCTGGCTCTTGTTTGTGGGGGGCAAATAAGGAAATAAGAAAATGAGATCAACAGGAGTGGTCTGGGTGCATCTGAAATCCCTTCCTGATGTCCTCTCAGTTGTGCTGGAGCCTCCTGGCTGCAGCATCCTGAGATGGGGATGGCTCAGGTGGGTGGGACGGAGGGAATTGTGCCCCAGGAGAGCCCCTGAGTGCCAGGATCAAACCTGGGCTGGGGCTTCCCAGGGTTCAGGGGGCTCTGTGGTCAGGGCTGCCCTGCAGCTCCAGCCCTTGGGGCAGTGGGAGCAGGGAACCACAGGGAGATGCTGTCCAGGGCCACATGGGGTTCCCTGGAGTGGGGAACTGCAGCTCCTGTGCTGCTGGGCTGGAAATCCTCTGAAATCTTCTGCCAGCTGCAGGGACTGCTGGAGAATTCCCATCAGGAGGGGTTCCTGTGAGGAAATCTCCACCTGGATGGTGCCTGGAGGGGATTTGGAGCTGACTGTGCTTGTGTGGCCTCTCATGGGTTTTCGGAAAGATAGGGTTTCTATTTCAGAAAATTCATTTTTATTAGAAAATTGTTATATAGAAAATTTATATAGTTTTTTTTTTACAAATTTCTATATTTGTATAGAAAATTGTTTTATTTATTAGCTTGGAGCTTCCTAAAAATACAGAGTGAGCTCTGTAAGTGAGAGAATGCCCCAGTCCTGCTGCTTCCCTGTGGAGAGTGACCTGTGAAGCCAGGCTGGGGTGCCCTGGGTGCTTCAAAGGGTGCCTCTGCAGTTCAGGGAATGTTCAAGTGATCATCCACCCAGCTGTCAGATGACCCAGGTTTTGTTTCAGACTCAGTCTTGCAGAGCCCTAAGCCTCGATGTGTGGCCTGGAGTAAGTGCTGGTTGAGTAATCTAAGTTACTTGGGAGGTGTTCTCAGAATTATCAGTGAAACAAAGGACAAGCCCTCCCTTGTTAGGCAGTGCCAGAGCTCCCTGATTTTAAGGCCCATCACCTTTTTTGCTCGGGCATATCGCTGAGCCCTGTAATTAGTGAAATCTGCTCCCCTCATCAAAAGGCATCCCCACACTGCAGTGCTCTGTGAGGCTCCCCAGCTTTGCCTGATTAACTCGTGGAGGCAGTGGGTGGCTAATTGGATAAGCTTTAATCTTCACACCAGGCAGGGCAGGAGGAAGTGGGGCTGTGTGCAGGGGAAGGCAGTTACCAAACATGTCACAAAGATTATTGTGAGCAGCAAACCCCGGGCATGACCCAGCCCCAGGAGTGGGGCTGGCAGGGACAGAGGCACAGCCACAAATTGTCCCAGATTTGCTTGCCTTGGCTGTTTTTGGGCTGGCAGGAATAGCTGTCCTGGTTTTAGCAAGCAGAGAGTTTCTGTTCCCTTTGCTTTGGTTAAACAGCTCTGGCAGATGTTGTTACCTGGGGTTTGTGTCCCTCTAATTGAGGGGAATTGGGAGAGCTGCAGAGCTGGTTCCATCTCTAGCAGAGCAGTGTTTCTGTCCTGGTCACAAACTGGTGCCACTGGGAAATAAAAGAGCCCATTTAATCTCCCAGAGCAGGGAGGAAAGGTGGGCAATGTGCAAAACTGCACTCCAGGTGTGTGTCAGTTTGTCTGGTCCAGCCTGGTTGCCAGCCCTGAGAAATGCAGGGGAATTTCATGGAGGAGCAGGGCTGGGGTGCAGAACAATCCCAGCTCCTCTCCCTGATCACCCAGCTGGCCATGGCACAGCAGGGCTGGCTCTGCTTTGGGGTTCACCCATTGGGGTGGGTAAGGCAGATGCTGAGATTTAGAAAAAGTGCTTTTGAGCCATTTTCATGAAAAAAGAGGTCTTCTGTTTTTTCTATATATTTTCCATATTTTTCTATTTTTTCATATTTTTCCATATTTTTTATTTATTTTTCTTTCTTTATTTATTTTTTCCTATATTTGTTTTTTTCTGTATTTGTTT